TCGGCAATCATTCGTTTTGGTACAGAGTGGGACAAGTAGGGGGTGATGTTGCTGTAGTCGAACGGTGAGACGGACGTGTAGTTCAGTTTTGGGCACGCGTACGGTGCTGCAGGGATTATATATAGGTGTAGTAGTACCTCTTCGGGCTCTTGTACACCTTTTTCTTGCTACGTGTGCGTGTTCTTTAGATCCTCAGATGGCTCCAGCACTTTCGTGACCACGGGCCGAGAGTCTTTGCTAGATTTTGGCATTTAGCAACTGGCATACGGTTTAATGTGAAGTCAACAACAACAACAACAACAACTGCCCCGATTGCGAACCGTAACATCGATTGGCGGTTCCCCCTTAACCCTGTTTTCTTATTTTTCGTGAAAAAGTGAGCCTCAATTTCTTTACAAAATATTTCTTAACTGCGGGCGCCAACTGTATACCGAAAAGGTTCTCATCATGGACGCCACCAGACGTGCGCACACCGGACATCGGACAGACCTTTTACACGTGATCGCGGGTAACGGTGGGTGCATGTGGTACATGAGCTGCATTTTATTTGATCAATTGTTCACAATTTGGTGAACGTATCCATTGCAGTATCTTCGAGGTGACATATTCCTTTGTGGTGACATATCTCGTCATGTATGTACCCCGCGCAGCAGCCAGCACGAGCTCCCGACAACGCCAATACCATACGTGCACTATCGACAAGTGTACTCATGGCAGGGTGTGATGACAGGACGTTAAGCTTCAACACACGTCGTTGTCGCAGACCCAAGCTTCGAAAGTTTGGTGAGGCGGACATTGCCTATGTAGACTACTGTTTGCTGAAACCGTCGAGTTTGCCAGAGGCGTTTTTGCTCGGGGTCCAGAATAGAAAAGGGTATTCTGGAGCGGTCACTTTCTCGGAGAGTTCACGTGCAAGGAGAATGCCCGCTGGACAGGCGTGCGATAGCAACCTACACAACAGTTGTGCCTGAGAGAGAGGAATATACAGGATTGGGCTCAGAAAATTGCCGTTGTCAGTTTCTCTGTCGCTGTCCTTCACACCATGCGTTCCCATTCCCTGGACGGCATTCTAGAGGCCGTTGGCCTTCTTCCCACGGGGTGCCGGGTTGAGTCTCCGGACTCTCTCGCAGTCACTAGTAGGGCTCAAAACATCTTAACTCTGCACAACAACTACTACTGCTGTACCCAATCACTGTCGTCGCAATCGACCAATCGTCCACTCGTACATTTCACTGGCTGTGTGAGTCATGTTCCCATGAGGACGTGCGCCACGCCACGTGCCAACATATGATCATTATCCAAAGGCATCAACAGCAGTACACCAGGTCCTGCTGTCTTCACAACACAAGATGAGCAGTGATCTCACGCCGAGAGGTATCCCCCTAATCAAGCAATGTGTGTGCGAAATAGGCTACCCTACTTGTACACAAGACGTAAACGGACAATCACCGGCTACGTGCCTCAACAACTTCAAGACCCACAGCAGCAACAGCAGTGATTTCTGACCACTGTAGGCACTATTAATAGTATGGCAAACACATACACGGCCTTGTGTCAAGATTGAAAGAGTCCATCGTCAAACCAAATTTGTTTGTCTTGCATCAGTCCCGGGACAGCTCAAAGATGCGGTTCCAAGCTCTTCAAGTGAGACCACAGCAGAGCGTTACACATGCCGCTCATCGCGTTTCGAAAACAGGCGAACAATCGAACACAATCTGAAATTCCAGGTACTCCGACGAGATGTGTCAGGCTGCCAGTTCGCGTCAAAATGGATTTCATGCAACTCTTAAGGAGAACAGCGACTGGGATCTCTGGGGAACATGGATGCCTTTCTGATGTTGTCTAGGCCAAGGTAGAGGAACACTATGCGCTCCAGTCCAATGCCACCCCCGCCATGAGGAGGGCAGCCGTGTCTTCAATCAACATTTGCATCGACGGAGCAGGAGGGAGACAGACAGACAGCGGAAGGAAGGAGAATCAAAGGAAAATCTGCGAAACGCCACATAGGGTTGACATCCTGAGGCGACAAAGAAAAGGGATGCGCATTTACTGGTACTCCGGTCAGGCTATGAGTGCATGTCTTGTGACCTATGACGGTCTCTAGCGAAAAACAGTGACAGACGTGGGGGATGTTTTTATGGCGCAACGGCAGCAGCGCCAGCACCAGCACTAGCACGTGTATCATACACCACAAGTGGTCTACGATCCGCATGGTAAAACAGAGCAGAAAGATCACGAACCCACCAACAACGACGTACTCCGCCTAACGCTTACCTGAAGGCGTTGATGTAGTCGGACAGTGGCTCAGCCGGCACCCCTTTCTCCTCAAGAATCTGCATCAACATGTCGGCGTCGTGGCACCTGAGGACACAAGAACAGGGTACGGTAGAGGAGGCAGAAACCAGTAACAGAACATGCTGCGTCACCAAAAAAGCCAACGCAATGGGTAGAAACGCTGCTTTCCACAAAATCAGCAAACCATAAGGCTTAAGCTGCCAAGTTTGACACTTCGTTCCTTTTTCTACCGCCCCTCTTTGTCACGGAATGGGTCAAGGTTGTAGAGGACGTATGGAAGGGGCTCGACATCGGCGAAGATGAAACGCTGGAAACGGAGGGTTTACAGGGGTTCAAGGAGAAGATATCTGTTGCTTGTGCCGAGAGAGAAGAACAGAATCGGAGGAAAGAATCCAAGGATAAGGAGGGTCTAGAAGTGTACGGAATGTTGAAGGAAGGAATAGGGTTCAAGGACTACCTACATGGACCAATGGATGCAGGAACAAAGCTTAAGGTCAAATTCAGG